AATGATGTTAAAATCACATAGCAGTATGTCTGATATCCATTTAGTTCAATTCATTGGGGACTCAACACCTGCCATGTGCCATTCGTGGGATTAGAATCAAACGATGCAAAGCAGAATAAGACATAATCCTTCTCTCTACCAGACCCTCTTCTTGAGAGATACATGCACAGGTCCCTTGCACACCTCCGGGTAAGTGCAGTAGCAGGGTGTGTACAGGGAAGAAATGGCCATAGAAAGAAGCTCTTGGCCTCACCTGGAGGGTCAGAAGAGGCTTCTGAAGAAGATGGTCTGAGAATGAACCAGAAGGGCTGAGACGAGGCTCAGGGAAGGGGATGTGGCAGGGAGGGGAGAAGGCATGACCTTTGGGCCTGACAGCAAACAGCACAGGGAGGACAGTCTGGAACACTTCATGCTTTTCCAGTCCTTGCTTTCTTCTCCTTGGAGAAAAACCTCTTGTGTTGTTCTTGCCTCCAGATGCAGCTCCAAGGTGTTCTGAATTAGAAATTTGCCTATCAGTGGGAGGATAGTAGGGAAACCAATGAAACACAACATTTAGCAACCCCAAGTCACTGCACTGAGTTGTTCCTGTTTTCCCACCTAGGTGTTTAGAAGATCTGGCTGCTGATAATCCCCAGGAAGTGGAAGCAACACAAATCCCCAGGAAGTGGAAGCAACACAAATCCCCATCACCTGTGTGGATAATGAATTATAATTAATCAATAGAAGCCAAGATATGGTGATTTATTACCAACTCCCCACGGTTGTTGATAGCATCTTTCCTTTTTAATATTCATAAGTAGACAGCGAAGCTGGAAGTCAGAAGTAGGCTACAAACTGCAACAGGAAGCAACTTTTGTTTTCCTTTGATTGTTATCAAGTCGTCCTCTCCTGGGCTGCATTTCTCCCTCAGGGAAACATGCACTGGAGGTCACTGTGCTTCATCCCGGGCACAGAGCCAGTCAGTAGTATCTTTGGGACAAGGTCTTCACAGTTGGTCTTCAGGTCAGAGTCTTGGCTATCTGGAGAAATGATAGTAAGAAAGTCATCTTAAAATATTTACTTGTTTTCTTTATTTAAAATGGAGAGAGAGAGAGAGAGAGCTCTCCCATCTGCTAGTTCTCCCATATTGGAGTACCTGGGTTTGAGTCCTGGCTCTGTTTTTGACTCCATCCTTTTGCTAGTGTACACTTTGGGAGGCAGTAAGTGATGATAGCACAAGTGACTGGCTCCCTGTTACCCTCATGGGAGACCCAGATAGAGTTCCCACCTCCCAATTATAGATGGGTTTTGGGAGCTTTTGGCTTACTCTAGACCAGGAACAAGGTGGGACTTAGAAATATCACACTACTCTTCTTCCTCTTCATTCAACTCTGTCTTCTATCTCCCTACCCCACACCTCCCCAAGCATTTTGCTGGTCTTGGATCCACATGCTAGTCTGGGCAGGGTCACATACTGTGGAGGGAGAGAAGATGAGATTTGGAGATAACACATTCATGAGAAGACATGAGCTACAGTACCTCAATCTGTGCAGGTTTTTGTTATTACCATTGTAACCCTGATACTAGCCTTGTCTTCTCCTCTCCTCAAGATCAAAATGAGGTTGGTTCAGCCAGCAATTCCACATTCCATGAGACTGTCTCCAAGATTACTATGAATTCTCGGGACATCATGTTTTCCTCGCTAGCCCTGTATCCAGACTTTTGCTTCTTCCATTTGTGGTTGGTCTCATTGTCCCACTTGTGCTGTTTCCATTTCATACAATATCTACCAAACCACAAAATTAAAACCACCCCTTGCATTTCCACAGTTTTTATGCCTAAAAGCAATCTTTGTGATCAGCAGATTTTGATAAGGAATTTTGAGGTGTAAGAAGAGAATTTGAAGTTGTATCAATATGACTGTCAACTTGAACCTGAGATGATCCTCATTCTTTTTTTCCCAAAGAAACTTTTTATTTAATGTGTACAGATTTCAAAAGTGCAACTTTAGGAATACAGTGATTCTTCAATTTCCTTGGTTGCCTTGACACTGGAGAAATTTCAGTCACCCTCCAATTTCTATGTCATGGTTCTTCTCACCTCCTTCCATCTTTCAGTAGAAGACAAACAACCCAAACTCCTCTTATTCTCTCCTGTAGAACATCTATATGTGTATTACACTCAGTATCTCACCCTCCATCCTAAGCAGCTTGTTAGGGTATTTTCCTCTGCAAAGACAGTTGTCACTCCAGGAGCCATTATGGTGCTAGTGGTCATAGTAAAAGGACTACAGTCTCTCACTTTCTACCTTGCTGAAAACACTAGCGTTTCCCACATGGGTGCCCAGTGTCGGTCTCCTGCTCCTGATCTGGCTCATTGCAACTCCTCTTTCTTCTGCCCACTGAAAGATGGAGACAATGCTCCAGTAGGCATACTCTAAAGTGTTGCTCTCTTTCCAAGTATTCCACCTTGCATGGGTGAGGAGGGAAGAGTTCCTGCATCTCCTGACACAGGGGCTCTTGCTTCCCAGGTCAGCCTCCTCTCCTGGACTCAGGGCAGTCAGGCCTTCTGAATGAGAGATATGTATGGGATGTAGGTGGACTTCTTAGGATCAAACGGTGCAACGTCTTGGCTGAACATGAGTGCCACTTTTCACTTTTCACTGCTGAATAAATTAGGCAAGATTTCTGCCAAGCCCAGAATTCCCTAATACACTGTTTATTGTGCGCTTGCTTCTCTGAGGGTAGTATGGCTAAATCTCCAAGCTGGTTTTTCAGGCTACCTTATCCAGAGTAAATAGAAATGATTCTGTTCTTGAGTAGCCCCTGAGTAGGCTGAGAATTGGCATCATTTTGTGGGATCTAAACGTACTCGATGCATAGCTGCTATTGTGTCCTGACCAACGCCAGCCTCTTCCCATCCCTATCTGCCTTCTCTTTCTCTTCCGAACTTCCAGAGCAGTCTAATCTCTCCTCTGGTCAGAACTGCACTCTTGGGTGTGGGCAGAATTCCCTCTTCATTCTTTTCATTTCACTGCCTCTGCGGGATTCTTGATATAGATATAGATCTTTCACGCCACTACCTCTGCAGAACTGAGCCTGTCTGGGAATCCTGATGCTGTCAGCTTATCTCTGGTCCTGAAAAGTAAGGCTGCGACAAGCTTGAGCGCCGTCCACAGCTTGAGCCTGATTCATCCCTAGTTCAAATTGATTTGTCTCCTTTGGGGAGACCTTGACACTGGGGATATTTCAGACCAAAAGAATCTATGTGGACCGGCACTGTGGCTCACTAGGCTAATCTTCTGCCTGCGGCACCAGCACACTGAGTTCTAGTCCCGGTCAGGGCACCGGATTCTGTCCCGGTCGCCCCTCTTCCAGGCCAGCTCTCTGCTGTGGCTAGGGAGTGCAGTGGAGGATGGCCCAAGTGCTTGGGCCCTGCACCCCATGGGAGACCAGGAGAAGCACCTGGCTCCTGGCTTTGGATCAGCGAGGTGCGCCAGCCGCAGTGCGCCGGCCGTGGCGGCCATTGGAGGGTGAACCAAAGGCAAAAGGAATACCTTTCTCTCTGTCTCTCTCTCTCTCACTGTCCACTCTGCCTGTCAAAAAAAAAAAAAAAAATCTATGCTCAGAACTCCTGAGATTTTACATATACATATATAAAATACACTACATATACATATACATATACATATACATATACATATACATATACATATACATATACATATATATGTTATAAGCAACATGCCAGAGCTGGTGAGTGGTCTGTCTCACCTAGGAATTTATTCATTTATTTTTAATTTCTTTGGCCTGACTCTGTAGTAGACACCCAGGAAGTCATATATGAATGCGGCATAGGATCTCTGTTTAGAAGAGCTCATGATTTATAACAACCATACATCCCCAGGTGGCAAAATAAGTGTCCTCTGAGAAAGGGGGGCCCTAACAGATCCATAGTTACAAGGGTTCTATGTGGCACAGTCCCCATCTAAATACCTTTTTCTACTTGAACATTGGCAAATGGCTCTTCTCTCCCCTCCAAAGTCTGAAGCTGCAACTGCAATGTTCCTTCAACCACATTCCCACATTTATCTGATGTCCTCCTGGGCCCCTTGTGATATCACAGGATCCCTCCCTCTGGTTTCTTCTCATCCATGGATGTTTCCTTGAAAAATTCCAACATAGTACTCTTTGTGTGTTTCTTCTAGGGCTATCATTTGTAAATATTTTATCAGTCATTATTTGTCAAAACTGTTGTCTATCTACATAAAAGAGATGGCGGAGAGACAGAGAGTGTGGCTATAATGGAATACTCCATACCCACTGCAGACACACTCAGCTCAAGGTAGCAGGGCACATGCTCTGTGGCAGGGAGAATTCGCAATAGGATTCATTAACATAGCGTGCCCTGGAGCTCCAGATCAGGCTGCCATGCCAGCTCTCATAGGTTGGCGCTTAGCTCATGGGGAAAACAACTGTATAAGTAGCACTGCTTAGTAAATTTCTTTCCTTTAAAATATCTCCAAAATTTTTTCCATTTAACAAGTCATCAATACAAGGGCATGGGAGATAAGGTTAAAACAAATATACAAGGATAGGGGACTGGCCTCACATAAATAAAATAAATAGAGAGCTTTCAATTTTGGCTCTGATGATGAGGGAAACTTTCTAGAGGAGGTAGCTTTTGATATGGCATTACCTTCTTTAGAATGAGTAATGAGACCATTCACCATGTGGTAAACAAGTTGCCTCTAGATGGATGATATATATTTAAAGGAGAAGAAGTCTGATTCCTTCCTGTGGAGTTGCATTTGGCTACTTCCAGGAAGCAGCTATAGCTGTAGCTTTTCTTTCTTTGTGTCTGACAAATGGGAGCTATTTATTACTCATTTTTATATTGCTAGACCCCAGCATGGTACCTGGAAAATTGCACAAGAAGAATTTGTGGACTGGTTGGCTGAATGAGTGAGTGAATCAATCAGCCTCATGTCTTCATTCTTTTTCTTTCTTTTTTTCCCTAAGGTTTATTTATTTGAAAGTCAGAGTTGCAGAGAGAGATTGAATGCTGGTTCACTCCCTAGGTGGCCACGACAGCTGGGGCTGGCCCAAGCTGAAGCCAGGAACCAGGAGCTTCTTCCAATCCTCCCATGTGGGTGACAGGATTCAAGCACTTGGACCATCCTCTGCTGCTTTTCCCATACCATTAGCAGGGATCTGCACTGGCAGTGGAGCAGCCAGAACATGAACCAGTGCCCATATGGAATGCTGGCATCACAACTGATGACTTTATATGCTACGCCACCGCCCTGGACGTCATCTCTTCATTTCAAGTTCAAATGTCTTTACTCACATGGTGGTGCATTTCTCTGTGCGTGTCAAACTCTGGAAGGTATAACACATTAGGGTTGCATTATGCTTTACTTAACAAATTACAAAGTAGGCAAATGGGGATATCCAAAATGTTCAAGATTCTTTTACTACCTAAGCACAGTGCTTTCTAATGTGAATTCATTGCATTTTCTCTTTCTCCAAGTGGATGTGGGTAACCATGTGTATTGGGATTTTCAGTCAGTTTTAGTTTCAAGTAACCTTTTCTGTTGTTCTCATGAGAAGAGAAGGGCTCCCTGGTGTGCATGCCTGGAGACTTAGTCCCACAGGCTCACCAAGGTTATGCAATCTTCCCAGTGATCCGAAGCCATGAGGGATCATCTCACTATACTTGTTGCCTCTCCTTGGTGATGCATTGACTGGAGGCTTGGAAAGTCTTAGGACACGTGCATGTATTCCTCTGTCCTTGCAACAGCCCTGCAGAGAAAATGATCTCTGGGGTCCTCCCTTTGGTGGGTGGAGTATTCCGAGGGCTGATAAACTCCAGATCATTGCTGGTTACATCTGGGAAATTTACTGTTGCTTACTCTAGGAGCGAAGATTGCTATGAGTCCACCATACCCCACTGCCGTTTCCTCGTGGGTATGAACCCTCACTACATTTTCCAGCATCCCCTGCCGTCAGGCATGTGACTGAATTCTGGGCAATAGAATATGGGCAAAAGGGTCGACTTCTGAGACTCTCCAGTGTAATTCTGTGCCCCTTTGTCTTTCTTACATCTTCAGGCTGAATGCTGCAGGCAAGAAAGCCTTAGAAGACAGCAGAACCTCATGGAAGGAGAACCCCATGGAAGGAGCGGGGTCTCGGGATGATGCTGTGGGTCTTCGCAGGCCTTCCTGGGAGGTCAGAGAGCCCCGGACACGAGTCCACATGCGAGAGGGCTTCAGAGGCTCCAGGAAGCAATGGAACTAAAAGATAAGTGCACCTTGGTATAACAAAAAACAACAATGAAATCCATGCATTCTTTTTTTCCATAATACACATCTTACTTGAACCCTTTGAAGACCTCTTGGAGGACTTCTACACAGGCCAACAAGAACTGTCACGTGGCTCTGCCAGGGCTGCCGTGCAGGTCGGCTGGGGCTCTCCTGCCATTGGCCCTGCTGAGCCATCACAGGCCAGGCAGGGCAGCAGGGCGGTGCTGTTAAACCTCAGCTCTTGCTCTTGCTACCTCCCTACCTACATCACCACTTGCTATGCCTTCTCCCTGGAATGGTCTCCTCTCCCACTTTCCTTCTCAGGATCCTGCCACCCTTCATAGCCTCCTGAAACCTTTCTTGGTCCTTTCTTCTCTTGACCTGCAGTCAAAGGCACCTGGCACCAGTGATTGCCACAACAGCTCGTTCTGTGTATTAGGTCCCATGGTCCTTATGGGCAGGAAACACGCTGTCCCTTTCATTTTACGACCTCCAGGATGACCTGCACAGGAATCTGCACGTAGTAGGCAATCTACACATATTTGCTGAAATGCAGTGGAGAGGATTAAGGGAGGTGATTTTGATTTTCCCTAGAGTGCGACTTGGATTTGGGGCAAAAGTGAAGCTGGCAGGGTGCATTTGGGGAAGATCAGGTGGGAAAACAAAATGAACGATGGAAATAAAGGTGAGAGAATGCAGCCAGCAACTGTTTCATTCTGGGTTTCTGGAAAGCGTCCTTGGGAGCCAGAGAGCAATCTCTCTGACCTCCAATCAAGTGTCAGAACACGCCTCCCTGTGGCTTCTGACCTCCAATCAAGTGTCGGAACACGCCTCCCTGTGGCTTCTGACCTCCAATCAAGTGTCGGGACACGCCTCCCTGTGGCTCCAAAGCCTGTTCAAGGTCTCCCTTCTGGTCTGCAGTTAACCGAGGGGGCCAGGCAATCCCAGAGCATCCCGGATCTGACCTTTGGGCTGCTGAATTCACTGAGGCCCACACCGTGAGTGGCGGGGAGGTCTGATACACGAAGGTCCATGGCATAGCCTTCTATCCTGGGGTGAGGGGAGAGGAAGGCAGGAGAGTGGTTATCAGCCCAAGAGAGCTGCTGCCCGAGTGAATGCTCGCTGAGAGGTTGGCCCCACCTCCCCTTCCACACACGGCTCTTCAACTGTGCCCTGACTCTGTACTCTCCAACCCAAACAAAGCACTTGGAGAAAAAGTGATTTTGTGGCTAGCTCTGTTTTCAGTGCCCATGGAATATTTGCCCCCATGGTGATCCATCACCAGATTTAAAAAAAAAAAATCTTCAAAATGGCCACTTGCCTTTTTTATTGGCATGTTTGCATGCATGTTGCTACTGACTTGCACTCAAGGCCAAGGTTTTTTTTTTTTTTATGATTTTTGCCATCTGTGCCATATTTCTTTAGCGTTTTTCTTCTCCAATCCCTTCTTTGATGCCAGGAGAAGTACTAGCAATGGGCTGGAGAGATTCCAGAGCCCGATGCACAGAGACTGGCTAGAAACCTCAACATTACTTCACATACATTTTGGAAACTTCTGTCTTTTCTTTTTGCAAGGAGACATGTAAAGTTCCCAATCCAGCCCTACGCAGAGGCTGATGAGCAACCTGCTCTTAGAACATAGAAAGGTAGGCCCAGGGCCCCTGCTGCTGCCTGCTGTCAGGGGAGACATGAGACCCCCTGTGATTTGAGTCAGGTCTATGAATTTCAGCTTTAAGTAAGAGAAGAAAAATCTCACCCTTCCACCAGGACTTGAACTCGGTCATAAGTAAGGAGCTATGCAATCCATCAGCATTTTCAGGAAGGTTTAGAAGACCTCGGTACCCCCAAATACCATACTCAGTGGGACAAGACCAGCCAAGAATGCAGGTAATGACCAGATTAATTAAACAGATAATTAATTAATTTTAAAAAGCCAAACTGCAAAATTCCACATCTCACTGTCTAGAGACCTTGGAATATTTTGGTCTGGCCTGGAGAATAGGTGCTCTTACATAGTGTGTCTGCAGAGGAATATTTAGTGACCACTGTACCTTTTAAAGTATTTAAACACATATACGTTAAAGCAATTATATCTTCTGTAAATGAATGTAAAAAATCACCTCTTGTTGGAGAAAAATAAAACAGCTGTAGGAGATTGTCCTTTTCCTCTTAAATTGTGAGACGTCTAAGAAAAGGAGACTTTCACCAAATAAGTTCGTGGTCTTGGGAAAGTCATTTAAAGCCCCTGGATCTTCATTTACTGATTTGTAAATTGTATGAGTTGGAAAAAATCACATAAGTCTATCTTAAAAGTATATATTTCTCTTGGACAGTAGAGTTTCATTGATATAGAAAACAGGGCCTTAAAATCTGGAGCCCAAAGTGTTATGGCCAAGGAAATTTGTGCATTTGTTTTCCTCTTACTTTTCACCCCACTTTCATACATTTCTACTTTTTACTTCCAACCGGGAGAATCAATTCTACAACCACATGAAAGTCTCATTAGACTCAATATCTTAGGCCATTTTGGTAGTTCATAAAAGACAAAGCTTTAGTTCGGTCTACATGAGACTACCAGGCCAAACTGGAACTGAATGTTCTAATTTGTGTTGAATTATTTGCCAAGCAAATATGGAGCTCTTTGGATGTGAACAGGAGCATTCACACTAACAGGGTTCCTAGCAGCAAGCAAGCCAGCCAGATCCAACTTGGATTCCATCTGCTTCCAGTAGGCCTGCACTGTGTTGATGTGGGTCAGTCCAGCTTGCTCCTGGTGATGATCAGGGTTCACCATCACTGGTTTTCAGCATCTTGTATCAAGACCCAAGGCTGTCAGACAAATGACTTCCTGAACATGATGGGAGCTGCCTGGGTACAGGGCTGTTTAGAATATTAATACACATGGTGTAAAGGTGTCCATGATCCTAGAATCATAGCCAGAGGATCAATCAGTATTTATTGAAAACCTGTCCTAGGTACTAGAGATACAGCACTGATGACTCTTTCTTTAAAAATGTGCTTCTTTATTTGGAAGGCAGAATTACAGATGGAGGAGGGGAAGAGAGACAGATTGAGAGAGAGAGAGAGAAAGCGAGAGAACAGGCACACTATCCCTTCCACCTGCTGGTTCACTCCCCAAATGGCCACAACTGCCAGTGCTGGGCCAGGTTGAAGTCAGGAGCCTGGAATTCCATCTGGGTCTCTCACACGGGTGCAGAGGCCCAAGCACTTGGGCCATCTTCCACTGCTTTCCCAGGCACATTGGAAGGGAGCTGAAGTGGAAGAGCCAGGACTCACCTTGAACCAGTGCTCATATGGGATGCGGGAATCACAGGCATTGGCTTAACCTTCTGTGCTACAGCGCAAGTCCCTGATGGCACTTCATGAAGTGTTATTTACCTGTTTTGAGTTTCTCCATATTGTCCACATTCCACTAATTTCATTGAGAAAAGCAGTCACTGTTCTACCTTCACAAAGGTGGGTATAGGAGCTGCTTTTCTTTCAGTCATGTGGGGCAGCTCTTTGGTGAGGATAGGCTAAGAAACTGTTCAACAAACAGCTGATGCCCAACTTAGAGCACAGGCAGACCAGAGATTCTCTTTACACCTATCCGCAAGATTTCCTTTCCAAGTGACGTGTGAACAATACACAGACCAGTTAAAAATACAAATATAAAATCAAGCGAGGACCCTCTAGTATTTGACAGACTTGAGCAGAGCCTGAGCTGGTCCGCTGGGTGCTGGCCGGTTGATGTGAGCAGTGGCCCGTCTCTATCTCGGGAACGGGGCTCTCTCAGGAGCCTCCTATGTTAAGGGCTGCCTGTGGCTCAAGAATTGGCCCTAACATTTTGGCAGCAGCACTGAAGCAAAGCTGTCTCTCACTCGGAGGTTTTTCAGTCCATAAACCAGCAGCAATTTGGTTGTGGAAGACCCCGGCAGAAACAACAAGAGAAAATTGAAAACACAGAAGCACATTTGCCGGCTTTAACAGCCCAGCTCCCTCTCACTACCTCCGGTACCTTAGGCATAAATTGCTGACCTCTATTTAATTTTCTGAACTGCAAGAATTATGGGCCCAAAGTTCAGTGAATTGGAAGAGGTAAGCTTTTATGCCTCTGAGCCAGCTTCCCCATAAGCATTAAGTCTACAAATAAAAGCAACACTGCTATTTATACTTCCTGGGGTTTGTGTGTTAGGGAAGCCAAGCATGTCCCCGCCGCACGGCGAAGGTGACTGCATGGTCAAATCCACGTCCAGTAATGCGACAGAGCCTTCCGATCTGGGCCAGAGGGAACAGCTGAAGCAGATGGACAAGAGATATTAAAAACAACACACGCAATTTCATTCGGGAAAGGGCACCTGCTCAAACAGAGTTTGTTTGACTCTGCCCCTGGTCCCGGGGAGCAAATGTGTGCTAGGGGAAGTCCTTACGTCCATGCCCTTCCTGGCCACTCACCTCTAATCAGCACAAGAACCTGACAGACCACCTGGCTGCCTGTGCGCCGGGGGCTGCGGTCAACACAGCCGCGCCCTGTCACTTCCTGCCACATCCACATCACATCTTCTCCGTGTGCCTGCCTGACCCTCGCTGATATGGGTACTGCGGATCTGTCTCTGCCTCTGCCTCCAGCTCTGATGCCCGTCAGCACAGTTGTTTGATTCCACACGTGGGTTGGACTCCCCCTGGGGGCACCTGCTGCAGGACTAGAAGCTTCTCTGCTCACTCCAGCGTCCTCTGGATGCCCTGGTGGAGGCATTGATGCAGGCTTGTTCATGGCTGGCATGTAGGTAGCTCACGGCGAGGGCTGTGGAGGTGGCAAGGTTCCTGTCTGATTCCTTATTGCTGCCTGTCACAGCCCGGCCTTCCTCTCTGGGCGACTTTGCTTGTTTCCTGTCTCAAAATGTTCCCTATTCCTGTCAAAGCTTTGATTTTCTACTCTTTTTCTCATGCATGTGACCTGCAGACAAATTCTCAGTGTGGTGTGTCTAAGCCTAAATTAAGCACCTCGCCTCCAGGGATGAGCTTTGCATATTGCCAGGAGCTTTTTGGAAGTAACCCCTCCATCCAGACATGTGAGTCACACAGTGAGGGCTTTAAGCACCTGGGCAGATGGCTGAGGGAGTTATGTTGGAGAAGCCGGGGTCTCTGTTGGAACTACTCCCTGTGACTCTGTTCATACACTCTTCCTTGTCAAAGGCCTGGGTTGAGGTCACCATCACCTTAAGGCTGAGCCCAGGGTGCTGCACCATCCTGGCCTTGAGCTGCAGGAGTGTTTTGTTTCTTCATTTGGAGCACTGTGTTATTCCACTGCAGCATTGCTTATGTTTCTTTAACTTATCAGCCAGAGGAATGAGGAAATTGTACATCCTCTCTTTGCCACTTCTGCAGCCACGCTTGTATTTTCATAAATGTTTATCACCTGCTGTGCTCTTCTGATGACTTCTGCCTTTCCTAAGGCAGTATTCTCAAACTTGAACGTGCCTAGGACGTCAAGAGCTTGTCACAAGGCAGATTCTGGTTCAGTGTAGCTGCTTCAGACTTGGCCATTCTACCAAGCTCCACACTGATACTGATACTGGTGCTTGTCCTTGGAACATATTTGAGGCAGAAAGGGTCTACACCTCCTCTTCCAGTTACCCCACACAAGCCAGTGTGGAGCCAGGAGTATAATACCCAGGGGTATACTTGCTGCAAGCACTGGGACTCCCTGCTGGGCGAGTCACTACAAGTGTTGGTGTAGAGACAGTTTCCTTTCCCATGTATGTGGGGAATGAGAGCATGTTCCTTAGGTTTTGTGATTCTCCCGGAATAGCGGTTAGGGCACAGATACACCAGGCTACTGAGCTCTGGAAATGCAGATCATCCCAACAGAAACTTGCCCTAAGTATAAAATACACATCAGATTTTGCAGACTTAGTACATAAAAAAGAATGCAAAATGTCTCATTAGTAACTTATAAATATTATTTTATATTTTGAAATGATAATATTTTGTGTTTTTTTTATGTTTAAAAACATTTATTTGTTTGAAAGGCTGAGTGACAGAGGGAAGAGAGAGAGAGAGAGAGAGAGAGAGAGATTTTTCATCTGCTGGCTCACCCCGCAAATGGCTGTAACAGCCAGGGTCGAGCCAAGCTGAAGCCAGAGCCTGGAATTTGTTCTGGGTCTCTCATGTGGGTTGTAGTCATCATCTGCTGCAACTCAGGATGTGCACTAACAGGGAGCTTGATCAGAAGCAGAGTGGAGCCCTGAACCTTGGCATCTGAGGCACAATGCTGGTGTCCAAGCATGCACTTTCTTTCTTTCTTTCTTTCTTTTTTTTTTTTTTTGACAGGCAGAGTGGACAGTGAGAGAGAGAGAGAGAGAGAGAAAGGTCTTCCTTTTCCATCGGTTCACCCCCCAATGGCCGCTGCGGCTGGCGCACTGCGCTGATCTGAAGCCAGGAGCCAGGCGCTTCTCCTGGTCTCCCGTGTGGGTGCAGGGCCCAAGCACTTGGGCCATCCTCCACTGCACTCCCGGGCCACAGCAGAGAGCTGGCCTGGAAGAGGAGCAACCAGGACAGAATCCGGCGCCCCGACGGGGACTAGAACCAGGTGTGCTGGTGCCGCAGGAAGAGGATTAACCTATTGAGCCACGGCGCCGGCCCCAAGCACACACTTTCAAGGAATATTTTAGATAGATTTGATCATATACAATTTTAATCATGTATTTTCTCATATTGAATATTTTAAAATTTATTTTACCTGTGCTTTTTACTTTTTTTAAAATGTGGCACATGGGAGAGTGAGTGTTTAGGGTAACAGTTAAGACACCTCTTGGAATGCCTACATCCCATACTGGAGTGTATGAGTTTAAATCCTGGCTCACTCCCAATCTCAGTTTCCTGCT